ACTGATCCGACAGCAACTGGTGTCGCGACACTCCGTTCAGCGTCGGCAAAGCGCGATCCAACAACTGCTGCAGGCCGGCGAAGAATACGGTCGGGACCGGTCTGGGTGCCATCCTGGCCGTCTTGAACCGCCTCATAGCCTCCTGGTGGTCGGCCGGCGCGTCGAACTCCGCTGCAAGGACTTCCTTCGCGGCGGCCCAGTCCATCTTCCGAGAGCCTCTTCTGGCCGCATCCAGGGCCGCCTTCGCCCGGCCCCTGAGGAGGGTCTTCAGCGCTGCCAACTTACCCCGATCGGTCTCCAGCCCGGCAGCCTCCGCAACTTCCTCAAAGTCCTCCAGGAAGGTCCGAACATCCCCATCCTCAAAGAGTTGCGGCCATGGGATCTTCATCCTTATCCTGGTCACGGCACCAAGTGAAAGGAAGAAGGCCTTCGCTGCGGAGTTATTTATTCGGAAATGCCAACTGACCGGTTACAGACCATTGAACAGGGAAGCAAAACTCTAATATGCATCTTAGTTACAAAAACTGGACACAGATCTCCCGAACGAGTCTTCCTAGAGATTCGTTGCCTCCACTCATTCGTCGGTGAAATCCAAGCAAATGTTACAAAGCGGCTCCACGAATTCCGCAACAGAATTCCCTTTTTCGGTCGACGCAAAGCGAAATTCTATGAACAACACATACTACTCGCGTGCCTCCCGATCAGTAGTATCACCGTTACACCTGTATCCGTCACGGTGGTCTATTCAGATGGGATATTGACGTCCAGTTGGGGAAGGCCAGATCAGCTTTTAATTACCTGCGACACTCGTAAAGTAGACGCGAAGTCCGTCAGGCATACAATGTTGCGTTGGTGGTAAACGGCCCCTGCTGTATTCCGGGGAAGTACCACTGCCTATGCTTATCTGAATGTTATGTGGTTCGTCTTCGAGTGCTCCTGGATCGAGGTACCCAATTGTCTCTTTTTTATCGACAGCGCACTTTTTGGGTAGGTTGTATTACTTTGTTTTGTACTACAGGAGGAGGTTGTCCAAGCGAGTCAAATGGGATCCGATGCGTACAGTATTCGACGGAGTTGTCGATATAACTTCGCCAAATACCGTTTTTAACAGTCAACAACTGTTATGCGCATAACCCCATTTGTGATTCAGGTGGGTGAAGAAAATGATCAGCCCTCAGTGTCTGTCATTCCTGATAAAAAGAAATAGGCCGAACATCCCATCACTGTCATCCGCGATGGTAGGATGTGAGAAATTCGATGCGGACGAGTGTGCCACCGTGATGATCTTCGAAAACCTGTAACAGGCTTTACAGTAGTAGGTGTTAATGTGATTCTTGCATGTTGATTTGGGTGGCAATTTTCGCTAGTGAAAACGGTGAGTAATCAGAACATTGGTGACAGTGCCTGAACCATCCTGCACACTCGACTACCAAAATGGTCGTACAGTACTTACGTACTGGCGTTCGTGATAGCAGCGCATCGGTATCCACGTCCACAGGCTTCCGCATTGGTTTTCCAATGCCGTCTGTCTCTCACTGTCTGACATCCGGCGCCTGTACCCATTATTAGGCTCTACACACTGCATGCATCAGTGTCTTTTCGGTCAAAAACGCAAGGCAACCAATCTGCCATACGGAATCTTCAGTAAAACGACAAAGTTGATATGCATGTTTGTCTCAGTGGTTCATGCGAATTATTGTAGAAAACGTTGGCGTATGACTTGTTCAGAACAAACAGCAGCCTTACTGCCTAACACAATTATGGAATACCTTCCACTAAACCCGGCTATCGTGCTTCGATAAATTGACGGCGACGTATGCAACTCTTTCGGACGTTACTACAGAAAGCCTGTTTTCGAGTTCACTTGAGTGGGCTTGTCCGCACCAGCTTACAGTAATTAGCTCCAGAGTGTTGGTCGCATTCTGTAGACATACAGGAGTCCAAACCATTCCAAGAATTGTCATTACTTTGGTGGTTTTACTGGATACTAAAATCCTTCCCATAGACGAACGTAATGAATTGGCACGATCGTGGCTTCCGACGTCTCTTATGCTTTTGTTGTTATAAGCAACGTCTTTCAGCTTACGGTTGCACGTCTCCTCGCATTCACGCCTGTGAAAGTCGTAGGTTATCTTCCTCGATGAGTCTTCTAAACTCATGTGGCAAGTCTACTTGTGTGCCCAATTTCAGCTCCGGGTCGAGGAATCCTGATGCTCTACAAGGCCAAGCTTGCTTCTGCTGTGTAGCGGAAAAGCTAAGAGATAAAGCCAAGAAACAAGAGACGAACAACTACTGGTAGCTTTGGCATTAAAAAAACAAGGAGTACGTATTTCGGCCATAAAACTCGAAAGGTTTTAGCGGTAGGAAGAGTGTATTTGGGGGCGTTGGCCCCGTTGCATATAGGTTTGTTGAATACACGCTAAAAACGGTGCCTTTCAAAAGTCCATATTGCGAGGAAAGGCAATCAAAAAGTCAGAACGATTACACAGATAGTTTCTGGCAAAGAAAAGATACTGTTTAGAATTTTAACAATGTTTGTATGTAACTCCTCGCTTTCTCAATGAGGAAAGTGGCGATGTCCCTATGGAAACTGTTTCTAACTGACTGGCGCACTTACGGAAATTGTGTGTGTAGTAAACAATGTTCATGAGCCTGATGAAAAATGCGTTAGAGACGCTCCCGTGAAGAATCGTTTGCAAATGAGGTGTGATAATGTTGGTTGTAATGTTATAACGTTGCCAGTCCTTTATACTAGGGAAGAGCAAACGGTTTTGATCGTAAGATCTTCACCAACTTGGAGTGCTCTATGACTGACTGAAAGAACTCACAGTTTAGCCTTGTTGATCCAACAGTGGCATGATTAATGACCAACTATACGGCTCACTTGCACATAGATTCATCAATCAAACCAAACTAGAAACTCCGCGTCTGAGATGCAAACACCAGATACGGTAATCATTTCGGTTCGTGAGTCTGACCTTTAGGTACCCTGTGAGTCATGAATTAATTAAAGGAAAGGGCGCTTCTGCTTGTACGTTGGGCTTTAACAAAGTCTCATCAAGACCATTATTTTATGCCTTGTGCAGTTAACCATACTGGACGCATTCTTGGTTTTCGTAATATTGAATAGGCGTTTCAATCAGCAATGTATTTAATTGTTTTGTGCAATGTGACTTTCCATATGACAATTAAACCACTGACTTGAGAATGAAGACTCATTTTTTACTCCTTTTCAGTCGATATTACGTTGCATTTCTGATAAATCAAAATACATTTATTCACTTTCCTTCCACGTCCATCCGAGTTGCGAGGCGAAATTTTTAACTAGGATTAGAAAACTTCACCTTATAAGAGTGTGTGGTTCCCAAAAGAACAAGATTTTGGAGCATTCTAAGTGAGTTGTCTTCAAAGAAGCACGGTGTTACCGACCTATACGGTGGAATATAGCGTATTGTTGTCCCTCTAAGCGGCAACAATCAAGGATTTCTTGACGGTGGGTAGTCAGAAATCGTCGGCATGGATTCTTCCAGTGTATTACAAATGAAGCGTTTGATAACCTCTTACGATCACTTAAAAGACTAGGTAGTCGGGCGACTTGGTCAACACACCTGTATTTTACAAAGTATTTAGGAACTAACTGAATGTCACGAAAGTATGGCACTCTTCTCGAGAAAAGATGACCGCCTACCTGTTTTCGCATGTATCTGACACGCCCATCTTGACCGACTTAATTTACATTCTCTTAGAAGGGAGTGTTTTTTGAGAGGTGTGATCCCACGTCCTTTCTCGTAACAAGAGTGATGAAGCATCAGTAATGACCTCCAACCTGCGCCTTTTGATGTTAACTGTGATAAACTGCTTTTTGAGATCTTAACTGTTTTCTCACTTGATAACTACTAATTCATTGCTCTCGTCAACACACTGAAAATGCTGTTTGATTTCTTTTCTTCCTAACACTAGCTGTTATCAACCGTATCAATGCAAAAACTGGGATTGTTCCACCATATAGATACATCTTTCGCTCATCCGGTAGCCACCTTGGTGCACAGCACCTGTCCGCCGGAATTATCCGATGGTCAAACAACGGGCACCATCGACAAACAGCAAACTCAGCAGCAGCTAGCCACCAATTTAAATCCTGTCAGCAGCCTAGGTGGGCCCAGTTTTAACGCTGGACCCACCGGCAGTCATTCTAGACAGTATTCTTCTCGACGACGCCACCCAACTACAGGGGTGGACTCCACTACTCCACAGTCAACGGTAACAGCAACTTCCGTATCTGGTTGCTCCAAAATGCTGGATCCCAAGACAAATGGATTTTCGCGCTTGTTTCAAGTGAGCTCTTAACATCTACCTCCGGCACTCCGGTCTGCTTCTTAGTATTACTGGATTAACTTGTTTTCAGTCCGCTTTTCGAAAAGTTGACATGTGTGGCTTTCAATTACTACACTTGAGTAGATTTTCCGTTTTCGCTTACTCGAATCCAGTCGCTATTAGGCATCCGCAACCACTGAAATGTATCAAAGTCATTATTCATCATCGAGCACCCGTGTGATAACAGAGCATCGTACTGCAAGTTTTCTCCCTTGGAGGCAACAGCCGATGAAGTTCCATGCAATGAAGGCTTCATGTTTATTGAATGGAACCGGGCTATTTTGCTGGTTGGACAACGGACGAAATGTCACAGTGTAATGTGGAGTAGCCAGTAACTACACCGAATTAGCTTCTCACAGGAAGCTTTGCGGTGAATAAGATACAAATGCAGATGAAGTTTGGTGAAAAAGGCGCTGACCACTGGCATCTACCAAGAGGGGTTTTATCACACTACGCAGCAAATCGAACGCGCAATGTGATGTGATTTGTACATTTCCTGATAAAGAAGTCTTGCCCAGTATAATGAAAAAAATCGAAAATTGTCCAGCTGTAGCACCCTTTCGGTGCCTAGCTGCCATACCACACGAATGAGGCACGAGGTCTGAGATACTGTAGGTCGCCCAAGCCTAGACAGGGAAAGTCGAGAGGCAGAGGTTGGGTTCGAACCACGGACCTTCCGGTCAGTAAATTCGTGCTCTAACCACTTGGTCCACCAGACCCAAACTTAAACTTGCCAGCATTTGAAAGTTCCCGCCTGCTCAGCCACGCTTCGTCTCTATAGCCTTATTAAGTGTTTCGGACCGAATCCGACAGCATACCTGGCCTATCCATCGCCCAAACTGTTTTAATTGCATTTACAGTGAAGCATACATAGGTAGGACGAGCCAATGACTTTCCCAACGGATACATGAACATCTTCCAAAAAACTTGTGGTGAAAAGTGCGGCTAGCGCAGCACGGTTCACTATTGATGACATAAATGAGGGTCTCCGATTGGGCTCTCTTCTGAAGCAGGCTTTCGCCGTTCCATTAGGTGACTAAAACTTGAGTGTGTTAGTTTTTGTGAAAACAAAACGCAGAATTCGAGCCATCTATTCACTCTTGAATCGATTTCATCACAGCTTCTATCAAAGAACTAAGTGTGACATTTGATACACCCTGTGTTAACGTTCGGTGTTTTACATTTGTGACTGAAAAAATAAATGAATTCCGGACATCCAGCAACTTGCCTTTTTGCTGTTTTGATGGGGACCCATCGATTTGAGCTTCGACCTGTTTGAGCACTCCGAGTTTACCATATCTGTCTTTTTGGGCACCCATTGCTGTTATCTCCGTCTGTTCACCATGATGTTCTGTATCAGGTGATTTCAAAGGATTTTGGAGCTCTACGCTTCGATGCAGATGACGACCAACCAACATTCGTTCTGGTCCGTCTCGCATAATATGGATGCC